CAGCTGGATGGAGTCAAGCACAGCTCTATATTAGCAAAGAAAAAAACAGATTTCACAACTTTATAGCTTCAGGCTGGTTTTCCCTCAGGTAGTGAAAATAGGCCAGTCTCACCACCTCCTGCCACTGCCCCGGGTCTCGTCTGTCCCAGCCATTCATCCAACACAGCACAGCTCCAGGATGGGAAACCAAGCAGGGTCAGCACTCGGGTCCTTTCGCTCCATGAAAAGGGATTAAGACAACATCAAAACAATTAAAAGTCTTTTTTTTTTTTCCATACAAATCTGACTTTGAGCTTAAAATGGCATTTCTTCTTTCTTTTCCAACCAAATTGTTTAAATCACAGATGTTAAATTGCAGCATCATAAACTCTGATAAGGACAAAAACAATGTGATGAACAAAACCCAGGAGCTTCTCACTGGTTTCTGGCTCTGACACATGTGAGACTGGCAGCAGGGTTCAGCCCCGCAGCAAAGGGCCCCTTGGGCTGTGGGGACAAATCATTGCTGTAGCTGTGGGTTGTTTTAATTGACACGTAGCCACGATGCAACCCAGACCACTGCCATGCCAACCCCGAGAAAAAGAAAAAAAATCCAACTGTCTCTACTTCCTGAGCTCAGGAAAGCAAAGAAATTGGGCTCTGTGTCCCCACGATGTGCATGGTCATGTGTTCTCAGCTACGCTGAGGGCACACAGCCCAACGCGGACAGCCCAACACCAACACGCAGCCCAACGCGGACAGCGAGTGCCCTTGTTAGGCAAATGGCTGCCTCGGGCAGGGCAGGGATGAAAGCCAAGTCCCAGACCTGCCACGTAACGAGGAACGGATTAAGACATGTATAAAACAGTGTATTTGTTCTGCGCAGTGCTACAAAACCATCGAGTGACTACAGCTCTACTGGTTTCAGCCTGGCTGCTTTTCCCTGGTTTTATACTGGATTGTACACAGGAGGCCTCTTGACCAGCCAGAGTCTTAAGTTCTCAGTAACTCCTGCAGCTGCCAGCCAGTACTTGTGTTTTAGCTGGCCCAGGGGAGACCCTTATTGGTATTTAAAACACCTCACTCTCTTCCAGACTCTTTTTTTTTAAAAAAAATTGCTATATATACAGCAGGGAATAGAAGGTGAAACAGGCATTCATTTGGCATTAAGCACCAAAACGTGAGCTCAGCATGAGTAGATGGCTGGACAGATGTGCCACGGCCAAGTGTCCCCGCGGGAGCGTGTGCCACCTGCCCTTCAGCACAGAGCCGCGGCAGGAAAGGAGGCAGAGCCAGCACAGCAGCCGGCCGCTCACACTCAAGCCTTCCCTCGTCCTTGCCTGCCCTGCAGCCAGGTGCCAGCACGGAGCGGGTCCTCTCCTGGGGCCACCCTGGCCATCTGCAGTGCCGGAGCCGCAGCGCGGGGCCATCAGGGCAGGAGCACGAGGCCCCTGCCAGCCTCTCGCCAGGTGCTCGCTCCTGCTGCCAGACTGGTGTAAATCAGGGGTTACCCTGCTGCAGGCAGTGGAATAGCTCCTGATTTACAACATCCTACACAAGAGGAGAACTTGACCTTACACTTCAACATCAGTGCAGCTTCCTTTGTTGAAAGCTTCTTAAGAAAGACATGTAATCAATCCTGGAGAGCCACTGAGCAGCAGAGCTCGGGCTCTGCATAAGTCAGGGCCAGGCTTCCCAGGGAAATTGCCTGATCCAGGCTCCCATGACATCTCTTCCTAGGCTCTCCCTGCATGCTCGTTGATAGGAACGAGTGCGTTTTCCTGTTTTGCCTTTGTCACAAATGAGCTGCTTTAGATTAACACAAACCTCAAAGAGAATTTTTCCGTAATACGTTGGACTTACCTATGCTACTAACCTTTCAGACAGGCTTTTAGTGAGCTCAGGCCTTTGGAAATTCTGGCCTTTATAGGCATTTGATGTTATTTTAGAATCTGAGAGGAAAAACCTTACTGCCTTGCCTCTGTTTTCATGGTCATAATTATGAGGGCGGTCTGGTGACGTAACTTGTTTGGGAAATAAATGATAGTTTTCAACAGCGACTGCTGTCAGACACTTCGTTCCTTGTAACTATTTTAGAAAGTCCAAATTCATTTTGCACTTCCACAGCACCAGATGCTGCTCTTATTTATGCTTGTGTAAGTCCCATGCTACATCACAACCTTTGGGAGACCTGTTCCATGTTTACACTGCCTGCAAGGCAGTGGAATTTGGCTGGTTGCATAAATCTACGTATGGCTCGAGTTGTGATCTGCTCGTCCAGTAAACGCAATGGGAGAACCATGTAGATGTATTTAGTCTTACTCCCTCACTAGCTGTAACTGTTCACCTTAGTGATACAGACCATGAAGGCAAAGGCAGAATCAGTCTTCAGGCACTTTCACAACTTTAAACAGAGAGAAGAAAAGGGGAAGGCAAAGTACAGACAAAAGTATTTTTTGCAGAACAAAACAAGACAATTATTCATTACCTGTTAGAGCCTGACAAAAGCCAGAACTGCAGTGCTAGTGCTCCACTTGAAACATTACCCCACGGTCATCGTGCCTTCACCCTGCACACTCCTGCACCTTCTGCTCCCACCTGAGCTGCCTGCTGCCCTGAGGGAGAGGCAGACCCCAGCAGAGCCCTGGCCATTGCAGTTATGTGCCAGCCCCGAAAAAGATAAACGTTTAAGAATCAGCAGTTACAAGTACAACCATAGACAGCCAGATAATAATAATACTTAGTCCTGTTCTTCCAAGCTTGATACAGTCCTGACTCCTCACAACACCTCTATGGCAAGGAAGGATCATCTTTCCCTCTTGAGACATGAGGAACTGGGATATGGAGGGGTGAAAAGCTCTACCAGTTCAAAAGCTAGGCAAAAAAGCAGAGTGAAAACAAGTGGGTACACAACGCAGGTACAAGATAAACTGGTTTCCATAAATTCTGTGGGAAACAGTTGGCTTTTGAAGACACCCTCCCCCCAGTGTTTGTGACCCAAATCCTGCAGAACTGAAAAGCTGAAAGGTGCATTGACACAAACAAAAGGAAGAATGAAAAGAGGGCATTTTTGTGATTTTTATCAGTATCCCAAAGAACAGCATGTGGGCAGCAGCAGCCTTCTCTGCCGTCTGTGACGGCCGTGCTGCTGACCCAGAGCAGGTCAGGCAGTGCTTGCCCCCAGACCTGCGGTCAGACCCACCACTCCATGCAGCAGCAAAGGTCCGGCCACAGCCAGCACTGCTGCCAGGCAGGACGCAGCTCACAACAGAAAAGCTGCTGAAACGGTGCCAGTTTTCATAGCCAAACAAACTCACCTTTGTCCTCGCCACAGACATACTTATGGGTGTTTCTCCCCCTCTCTGCTGTCTGGAGGCGAGTCGGCACTTCTGTCTCAGTCAGACACTTGCTGAGTCTTACAGCCTGTTTTGGGCAATTGTTTGGTGGGGCTGATTTCTTTCGCTGGAAAAACTGGCTTCTTTCCTCCTCACCCTGGTTTCACACAAGTACGCACCGCTCTCGAGATGAAGCCAGCTGGGGGTCATTCCCCTTGGAGCCTCTTGCACGGCAAGAACCTGCCTTTGCCATCAGGAAGCCACACAGATCTCTGACAAGGCCTGGGGTGGTTGTGCTTGGGAGAGGCCCCCTACCCACCTGAGCACCAACTGCTTTAAACCCTGACTGTCCCCTCATTTTTGGCTTCAGGAGCTGTTTTCTGCCACCCAGCTTCTAGCAGGACCCATGCCAGGGTGGGGATGACCTTGTCAAACCCCTCCCTCCAGCATGGACCAATTTGAGGGAGATCTTCCCCAGGAGATTACCTCAGGTTTGCCATGTCCACAGTGTGCCCAGGACAAAGGGCAGCACAGATAATGTCTTCTCTACCAGCCCTAGGAAGCTGGGGCGGCATCTGGCTCTGTTTAAACGAGACAATTTTAGCTTTGATTCCATTTATGCATTTATTTAAGACTGCTAAAATTTTCCTGTTTCTCCCTACCCCTCCTCCCAGCCTCGACTCCCCCAGGGCAGGCACCAGCTCTCCTGTCAGACAATTTCTGTGTCAAAGGAGTGAAATGCCATAACCACCATCCCCCTCGCAGACGTTGAGGAAAGAGCAAGGTGGGACTCTGTCATGGCCCCCCAGCACTCCTCACCACCTCATGGCTTTATTTTCTGATGAAATATGAACTGGTACGGACATTTAGAAACAAGAACTGTCACTTAAATAAACATAGTGCTATGTAAAAAAAAAAAAAAAGCAACAGAGATTAATTTAATGATCACCTATAATTACACTGGAAAAGAAGAGTGGACCTAAGAAAACCCATCTTAAAATAAAATTAAAGCCTGCTTCAATTCTTTGCCTAGCCCATTTCTTCTACTAACAGCAGACACAGATTTGTACACGTTATTATATTGACATTGTAGCATCCCGGACAAATCAAATTAATTCAACTATCTGCAGGTACGAAATGTTGTAGCTGAGAAATGAGCACATAAAGTATATGCAATTTTCCCCTGGCAGTTTATTATGGTATGAAGAAAAAAACATTCTGTGCTTGAAGCTGACGTTATATTACAAATGTATTGTGAAGTATGACGTGACTATTAAAATATGATTACACAAAGTATGAACATTTTAAGAAGTTTACAGTACAGTGAATCTTTTATAAACAGACTCTTAAATATACATAGGACAATAGTAGCTGACAGAAAAACATCAAAAATTAACTATTAATGTTTATAGACTTTTCCCCTGAAAAAAAGTCTCACATTAAAACAGAAATTATGAAAAGCCTTAAAACCAGGAACAAATCACCTGTACACTACAAATATACACGGCAGAGGTGCGCAAACCAGAGCTGCCTTTCCGCTGAAGGGCAGAGGGAGGCAGGGCAGCGCCTGCCCAGCTTCCCCCAGTGTGACCCACTGCCTGCCGTGCCAGCAGCTGGGACAGAACAAGCCCACACTCACTGCAGGACAACAGACGACGCGTTGTCACCGTCGAATCGACCTACTGGAGTGTATCAAGTTGAAAACTTACCTGGGATCTTGCAACTGGATCTCTGCGGGCAGATCCCGGAATGCACTGGGAGCCCCGATGGGACCTACAGACCAGGAATGGGCTGCAAGACCGAGCTGTGAGGGAACCAGCAGCTCCTTCAAAGGATTTTATTTGTTTTAATGCAACTTTCCAATCTTTCCTCTTGATATGAGAGAACAGATGCCACATTTGATTTCTGCTTAGTCTGGTTGCAATGTCACCCCTAGTTCATGTGTTAAGTTATGTCAAAAACATAAGTATTTTATGCTGTAATACACAGTATTACTGAAACTAACAATATTATTTGCATATTTATAACAAGGTATAATGAAATCCCTATAATAAAACCAAAAGTTATGCTATAGATTTATTTACAAACAGTCCAGCAAAGAAGTATAAATACTTCTACATTTAAGGTTTAGGAAAACATAATTTACAAAATATTCAAATATATACAGTCATCTGAAAAACTGCCAATATTAAACTTTGATGCAGGCAAAGAATTGGCTGAGTCCACTCTGTACTGAAAGAGGTGGCGGCTTTCACAGGTTGTCTGTTAATTTCAGAAGTCACACACGTGTTATTTACAAGGAGACTGCCTCTCTCCGAGCTAAACGTGGCCGGAGCTTTGAGCGTGCTGTCCCAAAATGTCGTCTATCATCGTCAGATTGTTCAACCACTCTTCGTCGTTGCTGCTGCTGTTCTTCATGAGGGAGTCGAGGAAGTCAGTGTCACTGCAGTTGGTGGGCATGATGGAATTGCTGTGCTGGGACACAAAGTCATACTGGGGCAGCTCGGCAGCGGCGCTCATCCTGTTGAAGGCGTCGGGCGGCTGCCCTGAGGAGGGGTAGCTCGGCGGGCCGAGGCCCGAGGCAGGATTGAGCTGGTTAAAACTGGACACTCCTTGCGGCATTGATTTCATAACATTCATAGCTGGCAACGGTCCCCTGGTTAAATTGTGTCTCAAGTTCTGATTACTCATTGAGCTCAGGCTCTGGCCAGACTGCCCCATGCTCAGTTTTTGCATCTGTCTGACCTGGACGCCGGGAGCGATCTGATTAGGCGGCACTACAGCCGGCTGGGAGAACTGCTGACCCGGTGTGCTTGCTCTCACGTTCTGTTTGGAGAAGAGAGCATTACCGGAGAACTGCTGCATGCTGGTATCCATTTGGCTTTGATTTGGCATTCTTGGCACAGCAGTCGGTGTCCACATCTGGGCAGATGAGTTGGGGTAGACGTTAGGGATTCTTGGCACACTCGGCTGCCTCAAGTGTTGCTGAGTCGCAGAGTGATTTGCTAAGGAACCATAACTGAAACCTGCCATCGTCTTTCCCGGCCGCACAGCAGAGTGGCTGTGTCCTGTTTGGCACCCCGAGTTCATGCCCAGTGAGTTCTGGCTCGGCCGCAGTGGGATGTTGAAGTCAGAATTAGGTGGAAAAATCCCCTGCTGCTTGCCAGGGTTGTGTGGAATCATCACCATGGTCCCGCTGCTCTGGCTGGCGGTGGCTGGGGCCATGCCAGAGCCCAAGGGGCTCTGGAGCATGGCTGGGTTAGACGGCAGCACGCGGTGGTTAGGCGGAGGAGCTGGCATCACCTGGCTGCAGTCAGTGGGAATGGGCTGCTGCACGGCTGCGTACAAAGAGACACGTTAGCTGGTGAACATGGCAGAGCCTGAAAAGGCTGCTGCTCTGTCTTCCTCTCTCATTACATGGGCCTCTACTCTGTGTTCTTTGTACCAGAGTTATTACTGGAGCAATAAGGAAATGGGTGAATCTCATGATACGTGATAAAATGTGAAATGCTCTCATTTCAGGGCAGACAATCATTAAGCACTCTATTTAATCAGACCTCAGGCCCCGGCTCCTCAAGGCTTTTCATAGCAGGCTTTGCCCTCCTTACCTTGAAACTGATTTATCTGCTGAGTCGCAAACAAACTCCTCTGCTCAGATGTTACTCCCAGCATGTTTTGTCTCTGCTTTTCCTGTAAAACAAGGGGCATAATAGTAAAGTTGCAGTCTCTTGACAAACAAGAACAGCAGCAGATACTTGAAGTGTAGTCACTGTCACCATCAACCACCTCTCCCATACACACACACACACCTCTGACGAGACTCAGCCCAGACAGGTCATTTCAGACTGGATCTTAGTTGCTCACATGCCCCTTCTCACAAAGCTGTCCTGACAACAGCCCAGCATTGGGAAGTGCAGGCTTCAGCAGACCCTGTGCAGGTGTCCCAAGGGGAGCTGGATGAACATGGAGACCCTGGTGTCCACCAGCTTATGAGTGAAGCACGGCACAGCCAGAGGCTGCAGGAACCCTGGCGTCTCCCCAGCGCCTCTCGTGCTGACTGCTGAGATGTGTTCTCTGAAGTACCAGATCCGGGGACAAAAGGTGCCCAAAAGTCTGTTAGTGAACAGAATCTGTGGCAGCACTGCAGGGACACATTGACAAAGAGGAGACTGCTGGTGGCCATGATCCTGTCTGCAGGATGGCTCTGCTCAGGTGTACCATCACCTTTTGTGTTTCTTGGTTGTCACTTCTAACCAGAACATAGCAGTGAACTGAAGGAAGCCAGGGATCCTTATCAGGTACTCCCTGAGCAAGGCATTGCTGGCTTTCTCCAGGTGACCTGATTTGCATCTCCCACCATTTAACCCCAGAACCCATCACCACACTTGCATCCCTGCTGTGGACAGCAGCTGTGACCTGGGGAACTCTCCGTGGATGGTGGAAGCTGAGGCCTGGCTCTCCCTGTGTTACAGCAGCACAGATAAGCTTGAAGCCAACTGTTGACAAGGAGGTAGAGCTGCTTTTGAAAGGGAGTTTGATCAATGAACAGGACAGTACTTTGTTGAGGGTTTTACTGAGCTACTTCTCATCTCATTTCCCATCCAGATAAATGAGCCTCCTTGACCCAAATCCAGCAGCTGCTCAGAAAGTCAGAGGCACATGCTCAGCGCTGCCTCACCCAGCTCATCTGTGGGATTTCCCCATCCTTGCTTCCTCACACACAGCATGTTACAAACCTCGTACAGGGACTTCTGTTGCTAGAGAGACCAGCCAAGGCCAGGACAAACTGGAGTCTAACATCTGCTCTGGTAAATCCCCAAGGAACCAGAGAGAAAGGTCAGCATGGAGAATATCTCTCCTGGGGATGACTCACTCTCCAAGCCTCCCTTCTCTGCATCTTCCCTCCCAACTTTGTGGCTGACCAAGGATGATGGCAATGATACGGAGGTGACTGAATCCTTCCCTTGCATATGAGTGGGCAGATCTGCACTCAGACTTGCTGAGCAGCCCTTGGCCCTGGCCTCTCTTGGGCATGACATCCTGGACTCACCACAGCCCTAGTGTGACTCAACCCAGCAATTCCTGGGTCACTCCTTGCTGTTTGCTGACTGGTGATTTTTCCCCATTCCAGTTAGTCCTGTCCTTCCCAGTGAGGTGGACAGCAAAGCAACCCACAGAGGCACTCAGCATCGTACCTGCATCAGCTGTCGTTTCATTATTTGCTGCTTCAGTAAATGGTTCCTCATTGTGTACCCGTTCACCGTGGCTGGTGCCGGCACAGAGCCTCCGCTTGGGATGGAGCCCGGCTCCTGGAGTCTGGCAACAATTCCAGTATTTTGATCCTGCCAAGAAAGATGAAAAAAGAAAATTAATCTCATCAGGGAGATAACAACAGAAGCTCTTATCCTCTCTGCTGATGCCCTCTCTCCCATCTTTGGCTGTGCCAAGGCCAAAGCACCTTGTGAATTCACATGGACCCGCATGTCATGGTGAGGACAGCGAGGGGCAGGAGGCTGCTCTATTGCTGAGTATCAGCATAAGATACGAGAGAAGCAAAATGTTAATCCAAAATTCTTTGTGACTAGCCCAAGGCTACGGGACTGATTCACTCCCATTCCTGGAGTCACATGGCTGCCTGGCTGGCAGAAGGGATGTGAGTAAAGCGTCACATTTCCCACCAGTTCCCCAACTGTTACACTGAAAGACATAAGGAAAGAAAAGTTGCAGCAGGGTAGGATTTGGCAACTGGATATAAAGGGGAAGCCTACAGTAAAAGAAAACAGCAACCTAAAGGCAGAAGAGGGGAAGAAAAGGTGCCATCAGACCAGGGACTTGGAAAGATCGGGAAGGTGCGGGCTTGAAGTGGTTCTTGTGGGTTCCATGATCAGACAAACAAGGAGAGCTAACTGTGAAAGGAGAGGAGAACATGAAAAAACACAGGGTCAGATCATGGCCAGGCACAAATCAGTAATGCAGTGGGCCTGATTCTAGCTGGTGCAAACCAGTCTCACTGCAAGTCCCCAATGAAAGATCTGAGTTGACTTTCATCAGCTAAGGACTTGCCTCCAAAAAAAGAGCATTGTGAGGAGAAGAGGAAAAAAAACCTCACAAGAACACCATGAAGACACAACCCAAAATGGAAAAAAAATAATTTTAAAATACTGACGTCTAAACATTGTGGGAGCTGGCAGGTCATCAGGGAAGTACAAGAGAAAAATGAGGGAAGAAGTCAAGGCCTTGCTGAGGTCAAGGAGGGGAGCGATTCTGTAAGTGCTGTACTCAGGCGCAGCAGTACCCGAATATTCCCCTTTCTCCATTTTCACATCCAGCTTCTACATTATTTATGATGTTTTGTTATTATTGGCAGGGAGAAGTATGTATATTATATCCAGCATCCTTAGCTGGGCCATGCTTCCTTTGTTTTCAGAATGGAAGCCCGCATCCTTTGTTTGAGAATCAATGTTATCAGGAGATAAGCAAGAAGAAAATGGTTGTTGCCTTTTGACATCTGACAATTAGAAGCATGCTCAGATGGAGAAAACAGGATATGAGCTGTGTTTGAGAGTGGCCAGAAGAAAGCCTTGGAAGGCATTTGTCACCAGGCAGGCTTCTCAGGCCTGGGGCACCTTTCTACAACAGCTTCACCATGAGGAATCACCCAACTCCTTCCAAGATATTCTTTGTAAGAGCAATTACCAAGAAGGTCACTGAAATTACTCATTTTTATGGTGCCTCCTTTTGTTGTAGCACTTTGGTCTATTATGCAAAAGCACAATTGATGAAATGTAAATGCCTGCTAGGTAATTTGCTAAAAGACACAAACCTGCAGCTCATCACTGCTCTCATTATCATTCCTATTCATGGGCAGCCTCATAAGACTAGACTTTATTACTGACGCTTTGCTTACAATTCTGCTGGACATCTCTCCCCCTCCCTCCTTCCTCCTCCTCATTTCACTCCCTCTCTCCCACAGAAAAAAGAGGAAGGGGAGGAAAAAAGTAAATATGATTTACGACAGATGTAAATATGAAAGTTCATGTAAAGCTAGCACTCTGCTTTCATGTCAGACAGGATTCCGCAGCCACAGTTAAGCTTTGAATAATGCAGATTGCCTCTAGGGGAATATTTGAAAGTGCAGGGATTCAGTTTGTGTACTCTGCACATGAAAGACACAGAGATGTTCATGCCACCAAAATCCCCGCCATCTATCCAATTTCCTCCAAACTTGTCTTGTTGCGTGCAGAGGGTCTGTGCTTACTGAAGCAAATGAGTTTAGTGCAAGGACAATCATACTGATGTCTTGCTCAGGGCTATTGCATTAACAAGTCATAACATTAAAGTCTCTTTTCCTAATCATGTCCACCTCATTCTAATTTCTCCCAAACATCATCAGGAAAATAATGTTGATTTTTCCATATTATTAATGGTAAAGCAGTGTAAATCACATTACTAATTGCAGCTCTTGTGCTGTGGTAGTACAACAGCTTAATTATATGGGATTTTCTGCAGGTACCCTATAGCAATAATGGCAATCAGCAAAGTTCATTTGCAAATACACAGAATGGGTTGCTGAGTATTTCAGAGCAAAGTTGTATAACACTTAATTAGCCAGTAAAGAAACAATCTATAGATACAAATTTTGCTTTTGGGGAAAATTAGGACAAGATAGCATAGATGGGAAGACAAGGAATGAATTCAAAATCTTGCCTTCTACAGTTCACATTTAGGTTAAGCCAAAAAAAGAAAAAAAAAATTAAAAAAGAAAAAGGAAAAAGTTCTCTCTTTTCACCACTAGTGGGAACTACTGTATTCCCTTACAATAAAAAATAACCACCCAAACGTCATGCCCAAGAATAGCTCTGGTGTAGTCTAAAGGACACTGCTATCTGTACCAAAGGTTAATGAACTTCAAACATTTTTCCTTTTCATCACTCCCGAAGAAAAATCACTTTCTTTTTCATAGTAAGGCCAAGCCAAACAAGCCACAATCTTAACTTGTCTATAGTTTGGACTGTCCCATTTTAAAATCCAGAAAAACAGCCCAGAGAGGAGGATTCTAGGGTCGAAGTTGGGGATGATGGAAGCAGGTGTTCACACCCAAAGGGAGGACACTGATGGTGATGGGATTCTTCAACTTTTTTTAAAAAATATGTTTGCATGTAGGTATCAGGTTTTTGCCATTTTTCCCTCCAAAAATTCATATTACAACATCAAATAGGTGGAAGTCCTAACCAAACGGTACACTCTGCAGTCCTGGAACTGGAGAGCATGTGTTTGAGAGCGCGTGTTGCTGTTGCTAGGCAAACTGCCGCACAGCAGGTCCCCAGCTCCCGCAGCTCCCTGGGCTTTCCAGTGTGGTCGTTCCTGTTCAAAAGGCACTGGGGTTAGCTTCATGGCCTTCAGCCAGCACCTCCTGCACTGGCCTTGAGAGCAAGGAGAAAAGAATCAGGTTCCAAGTTTGCTTGGAACTCCTTGCACTCCAAGGAGTGCATACGGTTTGTGTCAGTAGCCACCGACTGTAATTGTAGAAGGTGCTGCATAGCCCAGTGAAACCAGTTACTCCCAGTCACCCAGCCTGTGCCCAACAGCCAACTCTGCAGGCTGGGTGAATGCATCTGCAGGTGACTGTGTCCAGTCGTAGTGAGCGTGGGTCTGCTCCGACAAAACATTTGGGCACACGCTTAATGCAAAGCGTGCAAACAGTCCCACGGAGACCTACCACATATATTTATGAATCTACATCCTTCTAAAAATCCACTGACGAGCTCCAACTGCCCAGCCCCATCGTCTGATTATGTATGAGATGCACAACTGCAGTAAATAAGCATGGAGATGAATTGTTCTGTGTGAACGTGGTTGATAAACTCCAGTCCTCAGCACTTAGTTATATATCCAGTAATCACTTTGTGGCTTCACTTAGGCGAGAATGAAGAAATTTATGGCCCCTAATTCCTCTGAATCCTCATTAACAAACAGTCCAAAAAGAATTTAAACATCAGACTTACTGAGGATCTGAGCTAGAGCTTTAATCACTCTTTGGCAAATATGTAAAAACCCCTCTAATCTTTAATAAAGAGCATTCATTGTTTTTTAGGACTATTTGAAAACACTAAACTCATTTATCATTATTAAACTTCCCATCTGCTGTTACGGTGTAACTCCGAAGAATGTAACAAAGAAACGTACATGTTAAATTGTATTGACTTAAGCCCAGAGCTATTGGAGATGTACAATTTATTTCAGTGAGGGCATGAAGGGGACTGCAGGCTGCTAGACAGAGTCATTTGTCCAATGCTGAAAAGACAGTTATCTGCACCAAAATGGCTCTTGGAAAGGCACATTTGCTTTATAAGAAATAAGCTGCCAGGTGAGACCATTCAGCATTATGTTACAGACCCAGACAATAAAACTAAGCCATGAATTTCAATAGTTAACAGATGGACTAATTAGAGACTGAATTCTTTGTGGTTCTAACAGATAACCAGGTCACAGCAAGGTTACTGAGAGAGAGACAGGCAGCTTAGCTAATTTCAGTAGATATTTGCAGAGTCGGGGAGGAACTGCACTTCCTCACTGAAAGCATTAGCAGCAGTGGAAGAATGGAAACATGTCTAATTAAAAATGCAAACAGTACCTGCATTTAAAAACTTTATTCCATTCCAAAAGACACTGCTGATTTGAGAAATATTCCCTTCACTTTCAATGGGGCATCCAGCTGAATCCAGTAACTACAGGGTTTAAAACAGAAGGGTTGGGGAGATGAGCCACAGCACCCCAGAATAAAAGGAAAAGACCAAAGGAAATGGGTTGCTCAGGGTAGATGTTTGCTGTAAATATGAGGAAGGGACAAACTGCTTGAAGTATTTACTGAGACACATCACAAAGTTAAAAAAAAAAAAAAAAAAGAGAGAGAGGGAGAGAGAGAAGACAAAACAGAAAGAAAAACCATGGCTATGGGACTTGACAGAAGCCTGAGCTACTGATCCACTTCGAGGCCTCGGCTGCTCATCTGGGGACTTTAGGTGGATCCATATTCACAGCAGGGACAGCTATTCTCTAGGGGTGGGGTGAAGTTTCATTAACCGAGTTTTGTTCTGTATTTTAAGAACATCTGTTACGTATGGGGAGTTCTGTACTCTGCTGAGGAAATGCAAATGCTAGTTTCATACTAATGCCTCTGTGTTTCCCTGCCTGCTGGTGCATCCTCTCCTGTCTAGTAGGTGTGCTGCATCTCCTTGGTGGGACTTTCCTGCCTGGGCAGCACTTCGCTCTGAAGTCCAGGACTAAGACTTCTAGGCACAACCATTCTACAGATACTACAAGTGAAGAAACTGAAACACTA